AGTTATCATCTGAAAATTTTGCCCCATTAAAGTTGATTTCCCTAAATTATGGACAAAACAAAATAGAGGTAACCTTAAAATTCAGGCCTAATTTTTAAGTTCTGCTCTGTTTCCATTTAACTAAAGGAACTAAATTATATGTACCACAAATTTATAAATTAATTATATGATTCTACTTTTTTTGCTTTGATAAAACTGGCAAAACACATGGCTCTTTTGATTATAATTTTAACCTCTCATTAGTATATCACTTCATGACATGATCTAATATTTATTACACGGTTCAAATCGTCTAGTATCTCTGGACCAGTTAAACTTATGCATTCAATGTAAGAATACCTCAGAATTAAAATGGTGCCTTTGAAAAAATTAAATGTACAAAATGTATTTACAAAATATCAATATTTCAGAAGTTTATAGTACTTGAATAAATGACAGCTTTAAGAGAACCTAAATATTGTATAAAGTGAACGATGTAATTAAGTAAAAACTTAATTTCATATAGTTTTTCTAATGCCATCAATCTCCCATTGATCAATCTCCCACTCTAAAACCATAGTAACTGCAGTTTCCAAATGTACCTGAATTTGTCTTTCTTTCTGAAGTTTCTATGTACCTGCTTCTTGCTCAACATTGCTAAATGAAAAACAAAACCAACAGAAGATACAGTAGTCATAAAGCCCCTGATATACGCTCATTCAGTATAGAGGTTGTGTGTGTTTGTTGTCAAGATCAAAAGACTGGAAATGAGGGCATATACTATTAGGTCATTAAATATGAAATGTAATCTTCCAATCTTGAATCAAAAGTGTAGTTTATTTTATCTCAAACAAGAAGTAGTACAATTAGTCAAAGTGTGCGCCTAAACTATTGACACAGTTTTGCCATCTTAACGGTAGCTTGTTTATGCCAGCAGCAAAGAAGCCTGGAGAGTGAGTAGCTATGAAATTGCAAAAGGCATTTTCCACAGTTTGTTGAGAACTGAATATTTTTTCTCACAAGAAGTGGTCCAAAGCCTGGAAGAAGTGGTAGTCAGTTGGTGCAAGACCTGGTGAATATGGTGGATGATAGAGAGTTTCCGAGTCCAGGTTCAGTAGTTTCAGCAGTACTGTTTGTGCGACATGCGGTTGAGTGTTGTTTTGCAAGAGAATTGGCCTGTCTCTGTTGACCAATCTTGGCTGCTTAATCACAAGCATCCTCATCATTTCATCCAAGTGGTTGCAATAGCCATCTACTGTAATCAATTGACCAGGTTTCATGAAGCTGTAGTAGATAATACCAGCGCTGGACCAACAAACAGACATCATTAGCTTTTTTTGATGAATGTTTGGTTTTGGACTATGTTTCAGCACTTCGTCTTTATCCTACCATTGTGCCAAATGCTTGCAATTGTCAAAAAGAATCCATTTTTCACCACACATAACAATTCAGTGTGGAAATGATTCACCTTTATGTCATGACAGCAAAGAAAGGCAAGCTCTGAGACGATTTCTCTTCTAATGCTCATTTAATTCATGCAGAAGCCATCTATCCAGCTTCTTTATCTTGCCCATTTGTTTCAAATGGTCCCATATTGTTGGAATAGTAACATCGAACCTTGCTGCTAATTCACGTGTAAATTGAGATGGATTCGCTTCCACTATAGCTTTCAGCACATCCACCTCGGTCTCAGGTGGCCCACATGGCTCATTTTCAAGATTAACATTATCAGAATGGAGCTTCTCAAACCATCGACATACTATGAGTTCATTACCCACATCCTTCCCCCATCCTTCCCATCCTTCCTTTGGGAAATACCACTTTGTTGATATTTTGATCTGTCTGCACTGCATTTGTTCCACCATGGAGTTTACATTAGAAAATAACATGCATTTTTGACTTATCCATGGTTTCACAAAAATTGCTCCAAAAACCATGAAAAATAATCACAAGCCAAAATGTGCATTTGAAAGACTGAGGATGCACCTTCACAATAAAAATAAAACAAGAAGTGTCAAAGTGAAATGTCAGAGATACCAACTGTCAAACTTAGTACTTAAGGAAATCGGACATTTCATATTAATACTTAATAATCATATATTTTGATTGAATCCCAGTGAGTTCCCAATCATGGATGAATTTTGACCCTTCAACTAAGATTTTAATTTTTAAATCTCTAGATTTAACAGTGTCATATTATACATGGTCCCACTTTCTAGTAGAAAAATTAATGCTGCACCTGGGAATCACCAAGTGCCATGGAAGAATTGACACCAACTCCTGAAAAAAAGAAAGCATAAAATCTAATGTAACATTACCAGCATTACTAGATTAAATATACGGGATACTTTTCTCATATAATTAATTTAAATGTTACAATTTTTAATGTGTATAATACTGCACTTCAGAGTTTGGGGCTCCCTGTGTGTGTTAGAACATAACTATGATATCTAAGAAAGAATTGCCTATTAGATTTTCTATGAAGAAGAAAAAGTTAAAATAAGGGATCCCTCTCTCCACTTTGGCTAAAGTTTAAGGCCACTACAAAATGGCTCTTGGGGCTGAACACACTGAGCACACAAAAAGCAGCTGACTGGGAGAGATTATATGGGCTAGAGATAGAGAAAAACGGTGGTTCTCTGTTGTACCACTGCTGTATCAGTACCTTTAAATGGTCACCCGGAACTAAGAGTGTGTAGAATATCTAATTTTTGTATAGTCTCAGAAGTTGACTACACATGTTATGGATATTTTGCATGCTGCAACCCACAGTTCAGTCAGCCATATATCCCTCTGCTTCCCAGCTGGTGTGTGCTCACAGGGAATGCAAACTAAATTTCATGTTGCCTTGAGCAACATATAATTAGAACAAAAAATCTGCTGCCACAAGGAAAAAATATCCTGTATAATGTATTCCAAGCCCAAATATAGAAGATTGCTGGTGTTTCCACTGTTCTGGCTTAAATATACTTCTTGTGAAGTGCACTAGCAGTGATAACTACAAGTAAGTTTGAAAAGTGTCATTTATATATTCTAAATGTCATCTGTGTTCAGAAGTCTCCATTCCTAATCATTACCTTCATGTCTATTTCAGTGCCATGTATTTGTTGAGCTACCGTTTTGATGATTCCAATGACAATATCCTGAAGTCCTTCTCTCTCTGAGTAGTAGTGCAGAATGAGTCCTTTGCCTTTTTCTGCATCAGTGCACCTAAAGGAAGGTGCACGCATACCTGGGTAGATAGTAGCAAGGTGGTCGTGCAGAGCATCAAGATTCTGCAAGAAAGAGAAAAGAGTGCTAAATAAACAATGCTCTCACAATGACAGCAGACTTCAGGAAAGCAAGATATGGAAACAAGGCTCAAATCTGGGTTTATTGGGCAGTTCAGCAGAGTAGCATACTTAGCTCACTTCACCAGGATATCTGTAAAGCAAGTACCATGGAGAAAATGAAACCAAAATAGTATAATTAAGAAAAATATCTGTGGCTATTAATAGTTAGTACATTTTAAGAAAGGATAAACAAGTGGGATATAAAAAGAATGCCTGAAGCAGAAAAAAGAACAGAGTTAAGGGCTAAGGCAAAGATATATATATATTTATACGAGCATGGGGCAGTTGTATACGCATGCTGTGATATATAAACAACAGGGAACACCCAAAGGGACCACACGTTACCCTTCTGTTTACACTACGTTCCTAAAACTTAATTTTCAATTCGAAACACTAAATCAGAGGTATAAGCATATAAAATATAAGCATATCATTTTGTGAATTAATATTTTAGAACTTAAAAACATATTTTAGAAATTAAAGCAGTATAATTTCTTCATGATCATTAGTAGTCTCCAGTCAAGGTAGAGTTTCACGGCTCACTAGTGAAATAATTACCTTTTAAAAATGAAGTCTTAGAAAACTAACAAATTGGCCAACAAAGATTTTTGGTTCTTGTAGCCTTGCCATTAATTTGGAAGATGCCAAATTCCCCAGAGTCCTATATTACTAACATAGAAAATTGATTTGTATTAAGATTACCAGAAGAAATGGTACAAACTATACTTTTTACTTGTTCCTATATGATTTTTCAAATAACACTTATCTAATAATCTGTTGTGTGTGTGTGTATTGCACATATATAATAGGATACACACACAACATCACATGGTATAGGAATTAAGAGCAATATGACTTTAGAATCAAGAGGACATGGGTTTAATTCATGACTGTCATTTCATAGTAATGCAGACAGTTCACCAACTTTTGTAAAACTTGATTTTTTCTCTGACAAAATAGAGATAACTAAAAGGATATACATAAAGCACTTAGCACATCCCAGATGTGGTAGGCAAAATAAAATTGTCTCTCAGAGATTCCCATGCTTTATTCCCTGTGAATGTGTTATATCACATGGTGAATGGGATTGTAAAGATGTGATTAGGGTTATGGACCTTAAGGGGGAAAGAGTATCCTGGATTATCCAGGTAAACACGACCTACTCACAGGAGTGACTAAGTACTTAAAGGCTGAGAACCTTTCCTGGCTACACTGAGAGAGAGATGCAATGACAGAAGGTCAAAGAGATGCAAGCATGAGAAGGATTTTACACCATGTTTCAGGTTCTGAGATGTAGGAGACTTTTCAAGGACTGGAGAGAGGTCTCCAGGACCTTAGGGTAGCCCCCAGCTGAGAGTCAACAAGGAAGCCAGGTCCTCAGACTTCAACTGCATGGAACTGGATTCTGTTAATACCTGCATGAGCAGGGAAACGATCATCCTCTAGGGCCATCATAGAGAAACACAGCCCTGCCAGCACCTGGACTGTAGTCCGGTAGGACCTTCAATGGACTTCCAACTTACAAAATAATAGGATAATACATTTGTGTTGTTTCAAGCACTCCAGTTTGTGGTCATTTGTTATGGTAGCAATAAAAAACTTATATACCAAGCAAACAGCAATCTATCCATAACTGGTGATTAGTTTTAAAGAGAAGGGAAAGATAAAACAGTTTCAAAATGTCATGGACATAAAAAATGTATCTAAAAGGAAGGTGCTGGAGATATACCAAAATTCAACTATGTGTCTCGTCTTAAATGTCTCAAAGAGGTCAATCTAGGCAAACAAATATCCAGTAAAATAATAGGAAGAAACTGGAGTGAGCATGAGATGATTCCAGGGGTACTCGGATTTCAGCAATACTTCAACAGGGCACCTACGGCACTGTCAATTTTCTGTCCCTTCCATTCATCCACTCGGTCATTCATTCATTCTATAAAATTATTGCATGTGCATTATATACCATGCACTGTATCATACAGGCTGGGTACAGGTCAGAGGTTTAATTATAGATCTGCATGATGCAGAATGAGCAGCTTATGGATTATATCACAAATGCATGTACAGAGTGGCTCCTCATGAGAAATGTGGGGGCAAACAGCTCAGACTGAAAGAATGGAGTAAAAAGATTTCAAAGTAAAGAAAGGTGAACCCTGAGCTAGGTCATGAAGGTTGACATTCTGATGCAGATAAATGTTTCAGTGATCTCCTCAACTGGGTAAAACTGGTGTCTTCTTGCATTGCCTTCATCTATAGTGCTTTCTGTTTTCTTCCCCCAAATTATATCTACTAAATTCAAGTCAGGCTAGTTCTTAACAAAAACGTCAATTCACCCTGTTGCCTCTAGAGGCTGCTATTGCCATGTAAAAGCCATCCAATATGGTGGGCACTAAGTATTGGACAGTTTACATACTCTACAAGCCCCCTAATCCTAAAACTAGTTTACCTGCTTGAACAGTAAGAGGTGTTCTTCCTATGACAAGTTATTCTCATGGGAATTCTTCCCTGAGAAGGGAAGACCTGATCGCTTTTCATAACCCTTCCAGACTTCTCACACTTGATGTAAAAAAATCTTGTGAGAGAAAATCTGGTGAGAAAAAAAAAATCACCAAAAGGGTTTTTTTTTTTTTTAATTTTCATTTTCCACAATGTCAAAATTGTGTTTGTGGCTGCATGTAGAAATTTTTCTACTATAGTTAGGTCTAGGTACTATGTTGTGGCTCACTTAAAAGAGAAAAAAATGGAATCAAACAATAACTTGAAATAGTTACTTTAATTTTTTTTCAATTCTTCCTACACAGAATACTTAAATATTTCATAAATCAATATGTTTATGTTACTTTTATACTCATTCATGTTCATCTTGTGTCACACTGGATTATTAGCACATCTCTACATGCAGTCGCGCAGTTGGCAGGAGGCAGTAATAATCGGCACCACTCTTGTTAGCAGCCACCATGGATGATACGGCAGGTCAGAGACTGGACATAATGGCCCAAACCCAGTACTCCATGAGTCACTAAAGATGGGCACTGTATCCTCAGTGTAGGTGGAGTCATTTTAATTTAAATAAAAGTATTGATAATATTAAGGTATTAATATTGATGATAAAATATTGCTTACATTTATCATTTAAAGGCAAATGAGGTACCAAAAAAACACCAAGTGAGAATGCTTATCTTTTAAGTCTTTTTGTGGTAACCAACTCTCTACAGATTTACTGTTTTATTGAATTTACTATTAATTAATTGGACAAGTAAAGTACTTTCCTGGATCATAAAAGATTTAACACCACTTAATGTAATATTGATTTTCTTTAGATAGTATCTAACATAAAAAACACTCTTGGGATTTCTTGAGTTACAGCGTTCTTTAGTTGGTTTTACTCTCTCAAAATTAAAGTGGTTACCGCAGCCTGCCCATTATAAGAAATGGGATTAATGACTAAAATTGAAATTATTTTCATTTGAGTACATTTATATTGCTTAAAAATGTGCCATCTTCATATTTAGACTACAATTATTTGTAGCAACCTCAAAAGGCCACAAAAAAGAATCTTAAAATAGAGAAAACCTTTTCCACAATTGAAAATACTATGTAAACAAAGTTGATAATTGATCCACATGGCTGTAACAGTGTATTCTGAAGAACAAGAGTGTCATACAAAAACTGATATTCTGTTTTATTTCTAAATATACCCATGGAAGCAGGTATAGATGAGAAGAGCTGTTCGGCCAATTGCAAAGTACATCCATATGTACAGAAGCAGAAGAGATATGGAAAAAGTGATTTTCAGCACCAGTAGATTTAGAGGAAACAATGAAGCAAATCTTAAACATGCTTTTATTCATTCTTCCTAGCTTTATAAAAACAGGAAAGTGATAGAGAGTAGGTCCATTCATCTATTTTATTTTGAGGTACCAAAAGGTTAGTCTGGGGCTTTAATTTGATTTCCTAATGTTCTGATATCATTTTATTGTTTTTTTCTATAAGCAAAATAAATGTACTTTTTATACTCAGGAATTCTGCTTCTCATAGGTCCAGTTCATCTTGTGACCTAGAATTTATTATTTATAGGAGAAAAATTAGCTGTGCATGGTGGCTTATGCCTATAATCCTAGCACTTTGGGAAGCCAAGGTGAGAGGATGGCTTGAGGCCAAGAGTTTGAGAACAGCCTGGGCAACATAGTGATACCTTGGCTCTACAAAAATAGAAAATGTAGCCAGGTGTGGTGGTGCACTCCTGTAGTCCCCGCTACTCAGGAGGCTGAGGTGGGAGGATAGTTTGAGCCCAGGAGTTTGAGGCTGCAGTGAGCTATGATTGTGCCAGTGCACTCTAGCCTTAGCAAAAAAGTGAGACACTGGGGCAAAAAAAAAAAGGTCTGGTATTCTGGGATACTGTGCTGGAGTTCCAGATATAGTATACTCTACAGATTTAGAAAGCAAAAGACAATTTATTATTCCTTTGAGAAACACTTTAAAGTTCCATATTTCTAAAGATCTTGGAATGTTTCAAAATAAATGCAAATTTTCTTTTTATAATATGTATGCCAAAAATAAGCTCATACATAATTACAGAGGCAAAGTCTCTAGAAATCAACTACCTGATTTTCCTGCTTCCAGAACATTTAATTTAAAATTTCTAAATGATCTGTAGAAATGAGTAAGATCTTGCCTTGGAAATTTTGAAGGAAAGAAATTTTTTGGTCTCCAAGAATCCTTGTCCTAGTGCATGGGGAAAAGGGAGTTGTCTGTGTTGAGAATATTACTGAAATTTAGATCTCAAAGAAATCTTAAAAATCAGCCATTGATTGGAAACCTGTTTTTTTTTTAATGAAGGAGGATGAGGTACAGCATTTTCTTTCACTTTACTCCTCACACCTTTGAAAAACAGGACCAATAGCAACATTCTTAAATGAGAACCATGTGATTTAAAAAAAGTT